GAAACAGACACTACTGAGACAGACACTACTGAAACAGACACTACTGAGACAGACACTACTGAAACAGACACTACTGAAACAATCACTACTGAAACAGACACTACTGAGACAGACACTACTGAAACAGTCACTACTGAAACAGACACTACTGAGACAGTCACTACTGAAACAGACACTACTGAAACAGTCACTACTGAAACAGACACTACTGAGACAGTCACTACTGAAACAGACACTACTGAAACAGACACTACTGAAACAGTCACTACTGAAACAGACACTACTGAAACAGACACTACTGAGACAGACACTACTGAAACAGTCACTACTGAAACAGACACTACTGAAACAGACACTACTGAGACATTTGGTAAAGTTTGAGTAGAGTTATGATTGTTTTGGAACGTTTAGTCATTAGTTTTAATAAAATAAACTGGAATTAAGTTACAGAGTCAAAAGGATTTTAGTCCAAGATCAGTTAAAAGTGCCAAATGTGTTTGAACCAGTTCAGCAGAACGACCCATATAAGACAGCAGTTTTATTTCACAGTAAGATGAAGTTGTAAATATAATCTCCTCTCAGTCACCAGCAAAAGCTGCGCTTCTTATTCTGCAGTCTACAGTCGAACAGTGCGCTTGCTTGATTGAGATGCTGTTATGCAACACATGACATAACAAACGTTTCATCGTTACGAGCGATTCAGCCTCAGCCGTTCCAGTCGTCATGAGCTGGATTCCCTAGTTCCCCCGTGGGCAGTCTGATTGGTCGTGTGTGGCACTCATGAAGGCACAAGGCTGTAAATCCTGTCACGTCACATTTTCTGCGGTGATTTAAATCACTAGAACAAAATGACAGATTCGTATTGGAAATGTGCTCCATGTGCCAGAAGTGTCTGAGAGAGCTGCTCCTCTTGAGCAGGTTTTAAAGATTTATTCACTAAATGGTGACAAAGTGGGAACAGCTCAAGTGTGCGAAGCATTTGGTCCACGCACCTCCTTCCAAAGCGCAAGAACAGAGCCGTAACAATGACTCAGATGAGTTTTCCAGGCCTTTTCAGGCACAGTTGCTGAACGTCACGTCTTTTAGCCTACATTGCTAATGTTTACAGGCCTGCCAGCCTTGTACCTGGCCTAATGGCATGCTGCTAGTATGTAGTGCTCAGTGGTGGACGAAGTACACAAACCATGTACTTGAGTTAAAGTAGAGACACCCAAGGTAAAATATTACTCCAGTAAAAGTAGAAGTTCCTCCCTTTAGACCTCCACTTGAGTAAAAGTACAAAAGTATTTGCCTTCAAATGTACTTAAGTATCTAAAGTGAAAGTACTAAAAGATTAATTATGGCTCTAATGTCCTATTATCATTACTGTAACAAGACTCGCTTCATGAACTCATTTTAGGTGAAAATACTCCAGTGTCTCTCTTGGTAAACCAGTCTTTTAATAGAATGTCATTAATTAGTGACGCTAATGTCTATTAAAATTATCATAAGAACAAAACACTGAAGGCAAACAGTTTCCATCAGGTAGAACTGAGTGGCTCTGAAATCACTTTTTACAAACAAGCAAAGTTTCAGTTTAAGATTTATTTACAAGTTTAAGTTTAATAAAAACTTTAAACTCAGATTCACAAATGAGTTTCCTTTACTAAACTGCATCTGTAGGTCTCTATTCATAAACATAAACTAGCCAAAACTAATTTACTATAAAATGAAATGTGTTTGTATAAATTCAGAAAAAAGACACGTCAGTCACAACTGCATATGTGTGCATATTTCTATATTGTGGTCTGTTTACACAAAGTTAGGTTAGTTCATCATTTATGTTGAATAGACTCTCCCAGAATTTTACGCTGCTGCACTGACATTGAACCGTGAGCTGCACTGGGTCGGTATGACCAACAGGTCAAAACAAGCTCAAAACAAAGTGACCGCTGTGCCCTGATTGGTGTTTCTGCTTTGCGCTTCTTTCGTTTGGACATGTTACGTTTTTACACACACATAAACCAAAAGGAACGACAGATTTCTCATAATGTAGTGGAGTAAAAGTAAGTTGCTCAAAATAGAAATACTTCAGTAAAGTACAGATACACAAAAAACTACTTAAGTACAGTAACGAATTACATTTACTTCATTGCTGTCCACCACTGGAAGCGCTATCAACTACTACAGTGCTAAACACAAGCTAACTACTATAGCTAACTAGTCTAACCTAGCAACTGTTTTCTAGCTCATGCTGAAGCTCAACAGGACACTGTACTGGAAAGCGCATATTAGTTTGTCATGAAAAATCTAATTCACTGTACAAATGTGCTTAACATACTGGAGACAGCTGGCTTTTATTCAGTGCTACCAGCTACCACCAGCTAAAGCTACTGGGCTAATATAGCCACTGTTTTATAGCAAATGCTAAATGCTAAGGCTTTGAAGGATCTCACACAGAGAAGGATGTGTTAGTTTGTCTGATTAAGTTAATAGCTGGTTTTTGTTTAAAATATGAATTAATAAATTAATTTTTAACTTGCAGATTACCGGCCTAAAGAAAAGAAACTGGTGTGTGGGGTTTGGCTAGTCTAAGGCCCAGTCCCATTTCTTCTTTTCACCCTTACCCCTTGTTTTCGAGTGTCACCCTAACCCCTAACTGAGTTACAGGGTAGTGGTTGAAATCTTCCCTCTGAAATGGGACCCTCAAATAAAAAGAGCATCACTTCATTAACAGCTACCAGCTCTGCTCTGTAGGCGACCCTGCCAGTCTGCAGTGACAGCAGAGGAGGGTAAAGTTCAGCTCCTCACTGCTGGGCTTTAGTTACATTTAGGGCATCATATGCCTTCAAAGAGGGGGGCAATTATTTATTATCACCCACCCCTAATTCTTCAGTGATATGAAGCTGAAGTCAGATATTCACCAGATTCTTGTTCAAATTTTCCCGTTCCACCTCAAATGGTGCAGCAGTTACATTCTGGCGCTTCAGGCGTCAGAACTGCTGGACTATTTAAGGTGGAACGGGAAAGTTAGCTAGCTAGCTACCGAGATATTAGCATGGTATTAGCGAATTTTTGTGCTTGTTATGAAGAAAAGGACCATAATACTTTAAAATGACATTAAACTATATACTCATATCTCTCTGTTTGGGGTCTCTGAAAATCCTCTGTTTGGAGGGTCATGTAGCTTGAACGCTTCATGCTACCCGTCTATCTCAACAAGAATCAGGACACCCTACCCCTAGACGAGAACACGCAAAACAGAGGGCTAAGGGCTGAGTGGTAGGGGCGAGGGGGGGAATGGGATTGGGCCTAAGTCTCTAAACAGTGCACTGCAAAAAACTGTATCTTGTCAAGTGAAATGATCTTAAATCTAATCAATATTTCTAATATTTCTCATGGTGAGATGTTGTTACAAGATTATTTTTTACCCTGCAAAAAATGGTATTTTATCAAGTGAAATGATTCAGTTTCTGTTCAGTAATATTAAGTTCAGTTCTATTCAGTTCAGTCCAGTTCTATTCAGTTCAGTTCAGATCAGTTCAGTTTAATTCACTTCAGATCAGATCAGTTCAGCTCAGTTTTACTCAATTCAGATCAGTTCAGTTCCGTTCAGTAATATTAAGTTCAGTTCTATTCAGTTCAGTTCAGATCAGTTAAGTCTAATTCAGTTCCGTTCAGTAATATTTAGTTCAGTTATATTAAGTTCAGTCCAGTTCAATTCAGTTCAGATCAGTTCAGTCCAGTTATATTTAGTTTAGTTTAATTCAGTTCAATTCAGTCCCGTCCAATCTCGTCTGGTTCTGTTCTGTTCTGTGTAAGTCTGTTTAGTTCAGTTCTGTTCAGATCTGTTTGGTTCAGTTTGGTTCAGTCCAGTTTTTGTTGTTTTAATACAATTCAATCCAACTTTATTTCTACAACCACCAGGTTCGTAGAACCTGACTATGAAGTACTTAAATGTTTATATAACGGCATCAGCAGATACGTACATGAAAAATATCGGATATCAGCTCAGTATTCCTGTATCGGTGCATCTCTAATTGAGTTCGCCCACTGTGGACATGAAAAAACACTGCAGAGCTGAGTTCAGTTCATTAAGGAGCGCACATGTAGCTTCCCTAACTCCATTGAGATGAATGACGCTAATGCTAATGCTAACGCTAACGCTAATGGTCAGTTAAAAGAAACAGACAAGAATGGACTTCAAGAAGGAATGAAGTTTATTTTAAAAAGTGACAAGGCAAGAGGGAAACACGTACAAACAGCTACGAAGAGAACGGCCAAAGAGTGAAGAGCGAAGAGGAGTGGACACGCCGGACAGTCCCGTACGGTCACTTTTACAGACGTTACGATGAGTCACACGCCATTATTTCACAGGATCGCACACACATTACGCACACGTAACGCTTTTACACCAGCAGCACAGAAACAGACAAACGATGGAAAGTCGCAGGAGAGATGTTTGCTCGCCGAGAGCCGGGCTGAGGGTAGCCGGCCACTTTCAGGAGGAACAGCCAACGAGGGGCTTCAAAGTAGCTCCGGAGGGGCCGACAGAGGGCGAGGGGAACGGTCACCTTTTTTCTTTTTCTAGCGAACATTAAACCTGCGTGTGGAGGTAAACACGTCACCAGGGAGCAAAGAGGAAATGATCGGTTTTTAAAGGGGGCTCCCTCCGCTGTTTTTCCCCCACTCGCGCTGTAATTTGCCCTGACAGTAAATCAGCTCGTGGCCGGCCTCTCGTCCCCTTGTCCTCTCCCAGCATTCCTCCGCTCATGAATCACCACCATTCCTGGCTTCCACCAGGCATTTCCTGCTCAGCCCTCGCTCCCTGCGTTTGATTTCGGCCCGTGGGAGAGCACAGCAGAGGTTCTAAGGCCGTTCCGTTACCCCTCACCACAGTGACAGTCTGCATTAACCGGGAATTCCAATTATTTTTCAGAATTTCTGCATAATTTCATGGTTAAGATGTAAAAAAAAAGTGCCCCCTTCCAAAAAAAGTGGTGGTGATAGGAACCAGACGTCCACCTCTAAAAGCTCCCTCACAGAAAGTTACTACAGGAAATGGTTATGAATTCACTGCCTGATGTCTGAGACACTGTTTCATTAAGCTGTTCAGATGTTTTTGATGGTGGAGGGGTACATGCAGGCCGTTGTGAGGCAAAATAGTCCCCAAAGGAAAACTTTGTCACCACTAATGTAAACAAATCCCAGGTAAGATTCTACACAGTGAACCATTTTACATTAAACCACTCTGAGTTTGAACTATGTAGCAATTTTGAAATATCGGTGGGGTTCCCCTTTCATGCTTCTGTTTCTGTGCAAACTTAAAGGAGCAGTCCACCCTTTTTCAACCTCATCTCCATCTTTCACGCTTGTCTCGTACAATCAGTTACCACAGAAAATAATTTCAAAACGTTTCCCAGAACTTAGAAAAGAACAAAAAATACTTTGCTCATTATATGTCTATAATAGAAGTCAATGGGCAGGTGCTGAACATATAGATACATGGCTATAGAACGCAAAGGCAAGTCTACAGCTGTATAAGTAGAAGTGAGGATGTGACAGACAAACAGATGTGTTTGTGGAGTTTAATTCAACTTTACATCACTGGAGAAACACAGACGTTTCGGTTACTTTCACTTTATTCTATGGCTTTCCGGTATCCATGGCGATCAGGAGCCTGTAAAGAATTATTGCAGGTTCTTTGATCTGGAGAACTAGCCTAGATTTAACAGCTTAATTGACATCTGTGAAAACTGCATGAAAGTGTTTTGCACAAATTTTTACATATGGAATTCAGCAACTTCCCACTGACTTCCATTATAAGTGAGTTTAGAGTCAACTGGTTTTCTGCGTTCAGGGAAACGTGTTGCAGTTATTATCCGTAATAATCGATCATACGCTGAAGACGCAGCAGATAGAGATCAGGTTGAAGAACGCTGAAGTACTCCTTTAACCCCCCGTCCTTTGAGATGAACATGTAATAAACATTAACAATTCCCTCTGTAGATGAAGAGTAGGCTGCTGCAGTCTAACACTGAAGGAATAATAATAATTCAATAATAATAATAATAATAATAATAATATTAACAACAATCAAAATCATCCAAAATTAAAGCTATGCAAAGTGGCATGAAAAATCAGTGATTATCCTACGTGAGCTCTAGCGTGGCTCGGTTCCAGCGGAAAGTAAAAAGGTCAGTAATTACAATCGAAAAGACAAATAAAGACTTTTACCATTCTGGATTTTCTAGATTCTCTTCCTGAAATTATATACAGAACATTACAACATACAATACAGGAGATCACTGCACAAGTTCACGAATGGAAACAGTCCCGAGGGGCTCGGAGGTGGAGTCTAGGGCACGAGTCGGGGAGCGTGGGCGTGCCTGCGTGCTGTGCCCCTGTCTCGGATCAGATGGTGGCCCGTATTACCAGCCTGCCGTTCACCTGGTGAAGGTAAGAGCTCTCTTTGGCCTGTGTTTCGTCGTCACTGTCGACTGGCTCCTCCTTGATTTTGATAACTTCGCTGCTGCTGCTGCTGCTGCTGCTGCTGTGGCTGGGGCTGCACTTCCGGATGACGCCAGCAGAGGGCGAGCTGTCCTCCTGCTCGTAAGTGTCGTCCTCCTCCTCTGACTCATGCAGGCGGCCGCTGGGCTGCCGCAGCTGTTCGATGGACTTGGAGAGCAGCTGCAGGAGAGAGAAAACAGTTTGATTCAAGTCAAGTTAGTTCAGCTCAGCTCAGTTCAGTTCAGTTCAGTTCAGTTCAGTTTGTTCCAGTTATATTTAGTTTAGTTCGGTTCTATTCAGCTCAGATCAGCTCATTTCAGTTCAGTTCTATTCAGTTCAGTCCAGTTCTGTTCAGTTCAGTACTATTCAGTTCAGATCTATTCAGCTCAGACCAGCTCATTTCAGTTCAGTTCAGATATATTCAGTTCAGTTATATTCAGTTTAGTTCAGTTATATTCAGGTCAGTTCTATTCAATTCAGATCTGCTCAGTTCGGTTTAGTAATATTTAGTTCAGTTCTATTCAGGTCAGGTCAGTTCAGTCCAGTTCTGTTCAGTTCAGTTCTATTAATTTCAGATCTGTTCAGTTCAGTTCCATCTTTAGTTCAGTTCTATTCAGTTCTATTCAGTTCAGTTCTATTTAGTTCAGTACTATTTAATTCAGATCAGTCCAGTTCTATTCCATTCTGATCAGTTCTGTTCAGTAATATTTAGTTCAGTTCTATTCAGTTCAGTCCAGTTCTATTCAGTTCAGTTAAGTTTAGATCAATTCAGTTCATTTCAGTCCGGTCCGATCACATCTGGGTCTGTTCTGCTTTGTCCAAATCAATCTAGTTCAGTTCAGTTCAGTGCTGTTCAGCACAGTTCAGTTTAGTTCAGTTTGGTTCAGTCCAGTTTTTGTTGTTTTAATACAATTCAATCCAACTTTATTTCTGCAACCACCAGGTTAGTAAAACCTGACTATGAAGTACTTAAATGACAACATAAAGCTATTAAAACATTCATCCATGAGACTAAAGAAGGATGAAAAAATGTGCAATAACAGAAATGTGGTCAAAGCAAACAGTCAGACCCTAAATATGATGGCTAGGTGCGTTAAAAACACTGTAACTGAAATGCTCTGAATGCAGACGGCATTTACATGCAAACTGGTTCAAGTCAGCCTGAAAAGATCACAGATTAGCTGATGTTTCCAGATAAGTTTTAAAAGTTCGCAGTGCACTAAATTACGCACCTTCTGCACCTGCACCATTTACCGCAGACTAAGCAGGCCGAAGCACACGGCAGGAAAACAGGCCAATTAGGCTTAGAGAATCTGGGCCTCACACAAATATCCGCTCAGGCAAAAATAGCTCTGGGTTAAGGGAATTAGTAAACCGCTTTTTATACGCACTAAAGCCCATAAGCTCGCATACAATTCCGTCAGCACCTTCTGCAGCACATGTAAACATTTACAAACGCCCTGGTTCTGTCGCGGAGCGTCTTGCCGCTTCAAACGGGGTCATGATCTCGACCGTGAATCAGCAAAGGCTAATCTCTGATTACAGAGCATTTATAACCTCTAACCTCAGTTTATTTACAGCCTGATTCAGAGAAAATCTCCCATGCGTCACACAGACTGTGCATTCTGGAGGAAGCAAAGTACATAAATCTGAATGTACCTTCGATTTGCATTAGATGTGACGTCCTCAGTGCCACGACAATGGACTCACGCGTTAGCACAGGAGCAAAACAGGTTCTCTTTTGATCTCTGTTTCTGAGAACTGCACTCGAAGCCTTGAGCTTCCCACAGCGCTTTCAGCAGTAATACAGCAGATCAATCTACGGGCTCAGACGCACAATGGGGCCTTTCAGTGCGCCAGCCTCCCTCGTCGCTAGCCCCGCACGCTCCGCGGAATAATTACACTCAAACGGATGGCCAGGGTCACCAAAGCCACGGCACAGAAACACAAACATTTCCACACGGGAACAAGAGAACGCATTCTCTTCACCTCTGGGTTCGTTTGAACCAGTGCAGTTCTGGGGAGTCAACACCAGTGACGCGCTTAGCACTGCTAACAACTGATAACCTGGCATTTGAGCTAAGAGAAGCTTAGCTACACACTTAAAAAAGAGGGTTCTCCAAGGGTTCTTTAGTGAAGGCGATGATTCTATTTTATGCTTAGATCTTTAAATGGTGGAACTGTTCCTCGGATTGATGGAGAATGTGTTCTATGTTGTTCTATATAGAACCATTTTGTCAAGCCATTAGGATTTCAGCCATTGTAACAGTAGAAGAACCCCTTTTGGTGCTTTTTGGTATAGTACCTACACTCTTAAAAAAGGGTTCTGTGAGTTCTATTTAGAATAATTTCATGCTTAAATTGTTCTCTGAATGGTGCAACTGTTCGTCAGATTGATGGAGAATGTGTTCTTTATGGTTCTATATAGAACCTTTTTGAAAAGGGTTCTATATAGCACCATATTTTTCAAGTTATTATGATCTCAAACCATTGTAACAGTAGAAGAACCCTTTTTGGTGCATTTTGGTGTAGTCTCTTCTAGGGTGGTTCTTCAAGGGTTCTTTAGAACCATACGTTCTATAACCATTTCATGCTTAAAAAGCTCTTTGCATGGTGGAATGGTGGAGATGGAGAATATGTTCTAGATGGTTCTATATAAGACCTTTCTGAAAAGGGTTCTATAAAGCACCAAAAATGTCAAGCCATTATGTTGCCAAGCCATTGTAACAGTAGAGGAACCTTTTTGGTGCTTTTTGGTGAAGGCTCAACTTACACTCTTAAAAAGGTGGTTCCTTAAGGGTTCTTTAGTAAAGGCAATGGTTCTATTTAGAGCCATGAGTGTTGTATAGAACCATTTAGTGCTTAAATGGTTCTTTCAAGGGTTCTTTAGTAAATGCAATGGTTCTATATAGAACCATGAGTTCCACATAGAACCATGCTTAAATCATGGTAGTGGTGGAACCGTGTTCTGTTATTAAATACGTGCGGGTCGGCTGTGGGAGAGCTGTACCTTGTTAATGTGGACCTGTTGCTGATACTGTTTCTGCTTCTCCAGGAAGTGCTGGTGCTGCTGGATGACGAGTTGGGCCAGCATGCTCTGGGGCAGCGGGGCGGACTGTGTGCGGTTAAGGGGGACGGTGCCGCTGCAGTTTGGGCCGCACGCTGGACGAGCAGCGCTCCTTCATGGCCAGCGGAGACGGAGGGTGCACTGACACCGTGCCGGGACCTGCAGAGAGAAAAACACTATTTTACACATTCGTTCATTCATTTATGGTAACTGCAGATGTTACATAGCCAAAGGAGCGAGTGAACAGTGTGCAGCTAATGTTAGCGTCAATGCCAGCTAACGTTAGCTAACCAAGCGGCTCTGTTTCACTGTTTATCTGACAATGCGTTGCTTGAAAACTGCAACATTATTGAAGTCAGTGCTGACAGAATGGGTCATTAAATTACTCTTCTCTTTCTAACGGTGCGAGCCTTCTCACAACCCGTCACTCCAGTGCAACCATGGATATATGTGCAGCATAACCATGGAAATGGGTGTAGCTTAACAATGGAAATAAGTGTAGTGTTACCGTGGAAATGGGTGTACTGTAACGTTGGACATGGTGCAATGCAACCATGAAAATGAGTGTAGTGTAACCATGGAGGAAATGAGTGTTGTGTAACCATGGAAATAGGTGTAGCGTAACCATGGAAATGTGTGTAGTGTAACCATGGAGGAAATGAGTGTTGTGTAACCATGGAAATAGGTGTAACATAACCATGGAAATGGGTGTAGCATAACCATGGAAATAGGTGTAACATAACCATGGAAATGGGTGTAACATAACCATGGAAATGGGTGTAGCATAACCATGGAAATAGGTGTAACATAACCATGGAAATAGATGTAGCATAACTATGGAAATTGGTGTAGTGTAACCATGGAAATGGGTGTAGCGTAGCCATGGAAATGGGTGTAGCGTATCCATGTAAATAAGTGTAGCGTAACCATGAAAATGGGTGTAGCATAACCATGGAAATGGATGTAGCGTAACCATGGAAATGGATGTAGTGTAAGCATGGAAATGGGTGTAGCGTAACCATGGAAATGGGCGTACTGTAACTATAGAAATGGGTGTAGCGTATCCATGTAAATAAGTGTAGCGTAACCATGAAAATGGGTGTAGCATAACCATGGAAATGGATGTACTGTAACTATAGAAATGGGTGTAGCGTAGCCATGGATGTACGTGTAGTTTAACCATGGAAATTAGTGTAGTGTAAATATGCAAATGAGTGTACCGTAACCATGGAAATAGGTGTAGCGTAACCATGGAAATAGGTGAAGCATGACGTTAGAAATGCTGAGGCTCTCACCGGTGGACAGGATCTTCTGCTGGCGGAGCTGCTCTTTCTGCAGAAGGTGCTGCAGGAGGGCCTGCTGACTGCTGCCCACTTTCGTCTCCATGGTGACGGGAAGGGGCACATGGCCCAGGACGTGAGCGGGCAGACCCAAAACTCCACCGCCCTCAGCGTGCTTCTCCTTCAGCCCCAAACCAGCCTGAGGGAGAAACACATACATTACATTAGATCCCCTGACCTTCTGGGTTCAACCAGGATTAAAGTCTCAACCACAGTAGCACAAAATCCACCCTTTTAAACACTTCAATACACGGATGGGCAGACGGGTCACTTTTTACAGGGAGCAGAAGATGCAACCAGCTTCTAAGACTGAACTTTGGAGGTGTGTCTGCAGATTACGTGTCTGCGTATATTAACCCCTTAGAAACCTTAAATATTGGGGAATGTTTTGGTATTTTTTGGGTCAATTACAATTGCAATTATAAAGTATTTACATGTGACAGTCATACATGCCATATTGTTAATTTCAGTTATTATACTCAGATATGCCATTATTCTACATGTAAATGCTGACAGAAATTTGATATCTTTATGAATTTGGGTCATTTTTGATCAAAAATGTATGTAGCGCCTGCAAAATTTTGCATTTTTTTTATAATAGAGCTCTTGAAAACAAGTTGCACCTCAGATACCTTCTCAGAAATGGTTAGTCTGGAGTGTCTGTGAGCTGAAAGTGTGAGAATTTTGATGGTGATTCCTTCTATTAGTTATTATGAGTAAAAATAAACAATTATCATAAGGTGGACATGTTTTTATCGATTTTCTGTCCTCTTGAATTCAGGCTGAGTGCTAAAACTCTGATACACAGCAAGACAGGCTTTATTTTTAATTACAAATTGAGTTGCATATTTAATATTGGATATTTTTAATACTCAAAATCAACGTAAACCGAAAGCCCTTTGTTTATAATATGAAGGCTAAAAGCAGAGATGTAATATAACAGTAGTGAGTGGGTTTGGGTGATTTTGGAGCTGATCTCTGGCTGATGGACGGTCACAGGTGGATGAAATCACTCTGGATGGTGAGGCAGAGTCTGATGATGATCTGATTGTGAATCATGTCTCTGTTTTAACCCTTTGTTGGAATATGAAGACCAAAAAACAGAGCAATAATATCAGGATTTTGGGTGATTTTCCGAGCCGAATTACTCACTGATGCTGACATCACAGCTCGATGACGTCATGCTTGCTAGTTAGGGGCGGGTCTGTTGAATGTTCTGATATGTGGATCATGTTTGTATCTTAAACCGTTCTGAAACCATGAAGGCTAGAAATGACCTATCGTTTTGCCCGCAAATTGCGGTCTCCTAAATATCAATCTCAGAATGAGAAATATTATCCATATCGACCGGATTTAAGATGATTTCATGTGCCGAGATGATTCTTTTCTGTACGTTACTGAGAACTCCTGCTTTTGATCGACTGTATGGAATCAGTATGACGCGCCTGTGGGTTCCCAGTGATGAAGTGATCAGGCGGTCGTGTAAAGTGAGCTTAAAGCCTGAACACTATGTGGAGCTGCACTTGATTATTCTGGCTTGCTCTCTCTAAACAGCAGTAATGGATGAGGTGACCGGGGAAGACTGGAGCACAACTGACACCAGACACTTAAGAACAATATTTATCTAAGGCCTATAAAATCCCCCAAGGTCAAGGGTCGAAACCCTAAGGCTATACACATCATCCAGACGGTCACTGATGGCTAGTCTTTCAACAGGCACCACAATGCAGTGTTCAGCAGGGGCCCTAAACCACATTTCCTTTCATTTATCAGCCTAAACATTCAAGTACTATTCAGGATCTTCCAAGAGAGACGCGAACAGGCCATCATTTATGAAGAAATGGACTGTTCAGGCTGGGCTCGGGAGGAAAACAGGGGAAAGAAATGTAGTTTCTGAGATACTGATACATAAAAATGACCATTAAAAATAAAAAAAACCTCATATGCAACATAATACAGTAAATAAGAATAAAATTCATAAACCTGCTGAATATTTAGAGCATTTCTGGTTCCATTTGCCAAATATGAAACCAGAGCTGTCACGATAAATCGATTAAACCTGATGACTTTAAATGTGTGTTGATTAGTATGTACCTGCTTGAGGAATCAGCAGTGATTAGTCGTCATTTTGAACGATAATAATCCTTTTTTGATTACTAAACTTATGGTACACTGCAAAAAACAGTATCTTGTCAAGTGAATTTTTTTTTATTCTAGTCGATGTATATAATATTTCTTATTTTTAGATGGTTGTGAATTTATTATAAGATTATTTAGCTTATTTCTAGACTTTTTTTTAAGTAAAATGATCTCACTATACTGGCAAATAGTTTGGCTTGTTTCAAGCACATATCTTAAAACAACATATCTGCCAATATAGTGAGAATTTTCCTTAATAAAACTACTTAAAACAGGTAGAAAATGTTTGGAAATAAGTTAAATAATCTTAAAACAAACTTGCAACAATCTCAACAGGAGAAATATTTGACAACTTTACTTGACAAGATACCATTTTTTGCAGTGTACCACCCATTTATTCACACTGGTTTTTGCCACACAGTGTTGTCTACACGTGTTTCTGCGCAAAAGAGGCCACCCTTCATTTATTTAATTAATTAATTAATTTAATCTGCCACTGAGTTGTTCATTTTTCAGGATACATTTCTGGGGAGATTATATATGATAATCTACTTGCATAACAAAGGAGAACGTCAAAGGAAAATAAGTGAATTTTCAAAACTGGAGTTCAAAAAATGTGCATATCCAGTGAAAATGTGAGCAGAAACTGCTAAACCAGCTTCTGAGACTGAACTTTGGAGGTGTGTCTGCAGATTCTTTGAGAAGCTGAAAGTGAGTCTCCTGAAAAGAACGGAAGCTGGAATAAAGTGAACCCTCACACGGCTGAGATTAGATTCAGCGCTGTGTTTTTTGTGAAATATATGCCAATGGTTTGTTTTGACTGGAAAATGAGGGGTGGTCTCTGACTTTCGCACAGTACTGTATATTTTTAAAAGCTTTTAAAAGGCCATTTTTATCGTTTGGCCCCCTTTCATACTCCAGTTATTTGACTGATAGTCAATATAATCAGTATATTACTCAGTTATTGATATAATCAATAGTGGCAGCCCAACATGAAGAGGAACACAGGAAACACTTGTTGTTTTCTGAGGTAATGGAGCTTCACACAGACGAGGTGACTCACGCTGATTGGAGAAGAAGCAGCAGAGAGGCCGAGGCTGATGTTAGGCAGAGACGGAGACGTGTAAAGGCTCAGCACGGACGCCGGACCTTCAGGGCCAAGCAGCTTGGGCTGTGAAGGCCAGCGCTGACAGAAAGAAAAGGCAGAGATTGAGGGAGCGTGAGTTATTCTGAAACCCCACTATGGACCATTGGAAAGAGCAACAGCAGCAGCACAATAAACTTTAATGTACTAAAACGAATGACAGTTTTGTTCCTGGAGCAGCTCAACTGCAGCGGGAAACTCCTCCTGACTCCCATAAAGCCCAACCCTGAAGACAGCATGATGCATTGATGGCTATAAGGTACAATCTTAAAATAGATGGTTCTTGGCTTGGTTCTTCATCTCGTTTACCAAAAAGAATGATGTTTCGAAGGAATTTTGTCACTGAAAGGTTCTGTAGGGAACCAAAAGTGCTTCTCCTACAGAACTGCTCCACATAAGTTTTTGACATAATCTGAAAACGCCTGTTACCCTTTACATTGTGTGTACATTTCATGATGAATGGACCAACAGAAATGACCCAAAATTACTTGGAAAAATTCTGGTTCCATTAACTTCCATTACAAGTAGAGTAGGTTTTTTCCTTCTGCTGTAAAGTTCTCAATTTGAAGATATGAGGTTTTGTTCTGACAACAGTGATGTGAAGGAACCGAGTCTGATCTTCTAGAAATGTTCCTCACTGGCTGGAGAAGTTCAGCTGCAACAGGAAACGTCGCCCTAAGATGCACTGATAGTTATAAGGTACATTCTTAAAAATAGATGGTTCTTGGCTTGGTTCTTCACGCTCACATCTCGTTTGCCAAAAAGAAATTGTGTCACTGAAATTTTCTGGTAACACTTTACTTGAAGAATGACCTCATAACACCTTACATAAACACTTCATAACATGTCCACGAACACTTAAATCAACATTCATAAAGCATACATGTTTTACACAATGTAATTATGGACTACTATATCATTTTCCCGGGAGATTTTTTTTTTTTTCAAAATAAAAGTCCTCATTTTTTATTTTGAAAACTGTATCATTTTCAGTGAAACGCCTCATTTCTCGTCAGCCAAAATAAAAATGACCTTTTACTTCGTTCGTCATTAAGTGCTTTCACACTGAGGCACATTTTGCTTGCACTTTCAACTTCTTTTCATTTATTTGTTTCTTCTTAAGCATTTGTATTTTGCACTTTATTATCCCTTCCTCTTTTTTCTTTATCAAGTCAAGTCAAGTCAAGTCAAGAGGCTTTTATTGTCATTCCATCTATGTACAAGTACACAGTGGAGCGAAATTACGTTCCCTCAGGAACAACACGGTGCAACAAGGAACAAAAAGTACAAAAGTACAAAAGCACAAAAGTACAAAGTGCGAACGTGCAGACAGTGTGCAAACAAAAATTAAGCTAGAAACAATACAATAAATACGATAAATTAAACAGACATTAGACACAGTAAAGCAGACCGGACAGTGCAGCACCAACACAGCACTTTATGTCTTCTTTGAAAGTGTATTGTGCCGAAGGGTTAGTTCAACAGTCTATACGCTGTTCAGGAAAACGTTATTTGTCCTAAGTGTAACCCTTTGGGATTAAATGCTAGTATTGTTATTGATGTTCTTTCTTGCTTATGGTTTTGGAGAAGACTCAAGCCTAATTGTGCTTTGGTTATCACATTTTATTGACACTCTTTGAGGCTAAATGTTGCACTGTTACCCCAAAGACTGATAAATTCTGTAATGCCTTCACCTTAAAAGTCATGGAAGCTAAAAGAACTGAAATGCATGTTATGTTGCATTGTTTAAATTGCAATACAAGGTGGTCTACTTAAATTCATGTGGCTATCCATCATCTACAGGGAAGGGATAAGTATTATCAGCCTGTAAAGTAAATAAAAATAAATAATAAATAAAAAAATGAGGACTTTCATTTTGAAAAAAAGATGTATCTCAGTAAATAGCAGTTCATAGTAATATCATGTAAAACATGTATACTTTATAAATGTTGAATATATACTTTATAAATGTTGAATATATACTTTATAAATGTTGAATTAAAAATTCATGAGCATGTTATGAAGTGTTTATGTAAGATGTTATAAACGTGTTATGTAGACACCCTTCAAGTAAAGTGTTACGGAACCAAAAGTGTTTCTCCTACGGCACGGAGATGGAGGAACCATGTCTGATCTTCTAAAAATGTTCCTCGTTGGTTGGAGCAGTTCAACTGTAGCAGGAAACTTCATCCAGTTCCTATGAAGCTCTTGGCTTGGTTCTTCATCTCATTTACCAAAAAAAAAAAGAAATTTTGTCACTTTAGGGAACCAAAAGTGGTTCTCCTATGGCATCTCTCCAAACAAGCCATTTTGATTATCTAGACATGTTCTACTTGGCTGGAGCAGTTCAACGGCAGCAGGAAACTTCAACCAATCCCTATGAAGCCCAACCCTGAAGACCACATGATGCACTGAAAGTTCCCTTCTTAAAAATAGAGGGTTCCTCATCTGTCATTTCTCTCCAAGCAACCCATTTTATTTTTAAGAGTAGCTGGAGGAACCAAGTCTGATCTTGTGGTAATGTTCTCCTTTGGCTCTGGATTATACTTCCAGCAAACAGCAGGACGGTCCAGCAGCATGTGGTCATGGAGCAGCCCTGTTTATCCTTCCAGCCCCCCTGCATATTCGCTGACCTGTACGTGGATATCCGGCCCATTATATGACCCAGGGGAGCAGTTCCCTCTGAAAGACGATAGCCAATGTAACGGATCACAAACACGGCTAGCTTTTGCACCTAGCCCGCTAGCTGCAGGTAGTCCCTCTTCCTGCCAGCCCGATACACGAAGCTTTCGCCCTGTGTCAATACGATCGCCGCCTGACGTGTTTGTGTTGTTAGCATGTCGTTGGCTACCAACGGCTGGCGGATCAATTAAGCTCAACCCCGCGCCCCGGATCGCCGTGTAATAGGCATTCCTAGGCGGCCATTGCGCTGGAGGTCCATGGAAGTGTAAACAGTGGTGTTGAAGAATAACACAGCTGCTAAGCTGATGCTGCTCAGAGGCTTGTCGTTTCTGCCACCCGCCCCCAGAATGCACTGCTATGTGAGGGCGGACTGCTGGGAACCTGAAAAGAACCGAACTGGAACCTTCACTCAACAAGCACAACCAACACAAGGTACATTCTTGAAAATAAACTGTTCTTGGCTTGGTTCTTCACACTTACACCTCATGTACTGAAAAAATGATGGTTTGAAGAACCAAAACTGGTTCTCCTGGGGTATGACTCCAAAGAAAGCCCTGTTTGACACCTGTAATTTTAGGAGTATATGGAGGAACCGTGTGTAATCCTCTAGAAATCTTCACCACTTTGTGAGGGCAGTCCGCTGGGAACCCAAAAAGAACCAAGCTGGAACTTCCAGGCCTGATGACCTTCAACAAGCACAACCAACACAAGGTACATTCCTAAAAACAAACTGTTCTTGGCTTGGTTCCTCACACTTACATCTCAAGTACTGAAAAGAATGATCTTTTGAAGACACTTTCACATTGACAGGGTCTTCAAGGAACCAAAACTGATTCTTCTAAGATGTGCCTCCAAAAAAACACTGTTTGCACTGTTATTTTTAAGAGGATATGGAGGAACCATTTCTGATCTTCTAGAAACCTTCATCGCTTTGCGAGGGCAGCCTGCTAGGAACCCAAAAAGAACCAAGCTGGAACTTCCAGCCCTAATGACCTTCAACAAGCACAACCAACACAAAGCACGTTCTTGGTTCTTGGCTTGGTTCTTCACACTTACACCTATTGTACTGAAAAGAATCATGGTTTGAAGAAACTTTCTCACTGACAGGTTCTTCAGGGAACCAAAACTGGTTCTCCTATGGTATGACTCAACAAAAAAACCTGTTTGCCACCTTTATTTTTTAAGAGTATATGGATGAACCACATCTGACCATTTGGAATCCTCATATCTCCAAAGTGAAACTGTACAACTTTTAATGGACGTTAAGGTAAAAGGACTTTATTCCATGTTATTTTGAGTTATTTCTGTTGGTCAGTTCATCAGAACATTTACACACAACATAAAGGGCAGCTGGAATCGTCAAAAAAAGCTATGTTGTTTTGTTCGACATATAAACTGCTTGAAATGTCAGCATCTCCAACTCAAAACACCTCCCAGCGCCCCCACTGGGTGAGCGTACACAACTGCGATGAGGTGATAATGAAATAAAAAGCTTATTCCACACGGTTCAGTGTCCAGTGCAGTGCTGACAGTCCAAAAGCTGATGTAACATCTCTTTCTCCAGGCGCTGAGAGCACAACAGGCTGCAGCAGAGCCAGCGAGGAGGCTCAGTGCTGTAGAGCCGGAGCTCCAGAGGAAGTGAACTGTCTTTATTGTCTGCGTAGGGAGCCATTTTCACTGGACTGTGACCAACAAGCAAGCCAAAGGCTGCAAAGAGCGCTCTCTGTTTTCATAGCTGCACCAGCGCGATATATAACCGAAACGTATACGTGGAGCCTGACGGCCGTCCACATTCCTTCCCCATTACTGCTTTTTATCATGGCTAATGCTAATGTTTTTAAAGCAAAGCAGGTTATTGACTGAAATGCCTTTGTCTTTGGCCAAAAGACAAATTTCTACTGCAGCTACGAGGATAATGTAGCACACAAATGGACAAAATTCAGGCGTCAACATGGCTGCTACTGTACTTTAGCTCATGATTATGGATTAACAGTAGGTGCCAGAAACCACAAAAGCGAGAGATCACTTAATAACTCTATATTTACAATGCTAACTCACATAAATTATATATATGATGTGTACATAAATGTAAATATCAAATAATGGTCCCAGTACAGTTATAACTGTTACTTCACTCTTAAAAAAATGGTTCTTCAAGGGTTTTTAAGCAAAGAAATTGGTTCTATAAAGAACCATGAACACTCAAAGAACCCGAAACGCTCTTCTATTTTTACAATGTCAAGCTTGTAATAATGAAGAACCTTTTTGGGTGCTATATAGAACCCTTTTCAACCATCTACAGCACATTCTACATCTGAAGAACGCTTTCATTATGCAAAGAACCCTTTAATCAAAGAGTTCTTTGAGTGTTCATTGTTCTTCATAGAACCATTTTCTTTACTAAAGAACCCTTAAAGAACCATTTTTTAAGAGTGTAGTTTATGTTGTTTGCTTTTAAATAGAAAAATTTAATTGTGTCAGGAAACATATTTCATATTAATATTATTTCATGTTTTAATGATTTTATTTCATAATTTATAATGTGCATTTATACACACATATATATATATATATATATATATATATATATATATATATATATAAATAATGTATATATATATATATTAATATATATATATATATATTATGATTAATGTTGTCTATCATATATTGTTCAAATATTATTAAATATTATTTTATTATTATGTTACACATATATATTTGTATAGGTTCAAATGGCCAATTTCAAAAAAGCTGGCAAGTATGTCACACATACATCCATTTGAGACAAACATAAGCTGAATATAAGGGAAATTCATATATGCTATATCTGTATACGCCATATATTTGAAATCTATGTATTGTCATATATTGGATTCCCGTATGGGAATTGGTGTACAGAAGCTTCCTTTGCTTAGCTACATTAGCCTCGTAACTCTGCTGCTAAAACTCAAGAAGCAACTACAAGTTCTACAAGTCTTAGTACCTCAGTCCTGGTGGTGGTTGGTAGAGACGATGGTCCGTTTTCAGTCCCCAGGGCACTGGAGGCTCCGTTGGGGGAGCTGGGGCCTGAGCCTGGGGCACTGCTGCTGCTGCTGGACTCTGGACGAAGAAAGTCAGCATTAGAACAATGATAGTAATTATTTCGGTTCTAAAGCTGTTTGTATATTTAAACATTATGGGCTAAACAGGTTAAGTCTACACTCTCAAGAAAGATGGTTCTTCGAGGGTTCTCCAGTAAAGAAAATGGTTCTATATGGACTCATGAACGCTCAAGGAACGCTTTGCATGATTAAAAAGTTTTTTCATCATGAAAGGTTCTTCAGATTGATGGAAAATGTGCATGAATGTGCTATAGATGGTTCTATACAGAACCTTTTTATGAAGGGTTTCATAGAGCACCCAAAGGGTTCTTGTACTGTTACAATCCCAACATTATATCAACAGAAGAACCCTTCTGGATGCTAAATAAAACCACTTTTAAAAAGCTTCTATATAGAACCATCTACAGCACATCCTCCATCAATCTGAAGAACCCTTTCATGATGCAAAGAACCCTTTAATCATGCAAAGGTGTTGCTGTGTTATCCCATGTGGTTGCCAAGGTGTTGCTAGGTTGTTGTGAAGTTTTCCAAGTGGTTGCTAAGGTGTTACTAGGTTGGTGCTGTGTTATCCCAGGTGGTTGCCAAGGTGTTGATCTGTAGTTGTTGTTATCCCATGTGGTTGCTAAGGTGTTAATCTGTGTTATCCCAGGTGGTTGCCAAGGTGTTGCTCTGTACTTGCTGTTATGCCATGTGGTTGCTAAGGTGTTGCTAGGTTGTTTCTGTGTTATCCCATGTTATTGCCAAGGTGTTGCTAGGTTGTTGCTGCTATCCTTGGTGGTTGCGAAAGTGTTGCTAGGTTGTTGCTATGTTATCCTAGGTGGTTGCTAAGGTGTTGCTTTCTTTACTAAAGAACAGTTGAGGTTCTTCAGTAAAGAAAATGGTTCTATATGGATTCATGAATACTCAAGAAACCCTTTTCTAAAGAGTGTAGATTAACAGTGGCTTATTATTCTGGGATGTCCCTTCATTTTTAACCAAAGTAAACTGAAGTAATTGTACAAAATAGTAAAAATAACCAAACGATATGTAGATAAACGTCAACACTGCTTTCTAAAACTAGTCCCGCGGTCGTGGTGCTGAAATTTCTACAAGGTTGAAGTTGGCCTCTTATTTGCCAGATATCTGTTCAAATTTTCCGTTCCACCTTAAATGGAGCAGCAATTCCATTCTGGCAGCTGTACAGGCTGCACTTGCTGCACCGTTTAAGGTGGAACAGGAAATTCGAATGAAAAGCCAACTTTAGTTTTGTTGAATTTCTCAAATCATTTTTATGTGTGTTCCATTTTGTCCTGCGTACATCTTCTCACCATGAATTCTTCCCATAGAAAAAAGGGCTTCCTTATTAATATCAGCACGTTCATTATAAACATACATACATACATCATCTAAACCGCTTATCCTTCTGGGTCGCTGTGGGGTGCTGGAGCCTATCCCAGCTGTCATTGGGCGGAAGGCAGGATACACCCTGGACAGGTCGCCAGTCCATCGCAGCACGTTCATTATATCTAACCTGTATTTCCCATGGCAGCTGCCAACCTTTGCAAAGGCCACCCCTCCTCATGCTGACTGTTAGCTGAACTGCAGGATATGATCATGCATCTCTTACCCAGCAACTCCAGGGCTCTCTTCTTGAAGGGCGTCATGACGCTCCCCTCTTTCCTCCTCAGAAGGGGGCTGCTCCTCCTCTCTGCCACCTTCTGCTTCAACCTGGAGCGCACCTTCAGATTAGGTTCAGAGGCTGTGGAGAACAAACACCAACTTTTAACCTTAGCAGTCGTTTATTATTACCATTGTTATGCTTTACAATTTCATAGTAATTAAATTCAGATTTTATTTGCATTCGATTTATATTCTGACATTCGTTTCATGTCAAAAAATGGGACAGGACGTTTTTTCTTTCTGCAAAACAAGACCAGACAACAGTAACTTTTCTTCCAATTCAATTAAGCAATAGAACGCAAGAGGAGTGTGTTATTGTGAAATATCATCACAGCCGTGATGTTATTGGCGATAACACACTCCTCGAGTGTTCTATTGCTTTAATACAACAGTTAAATAAATAAAGTAATAAATTAATAAACTGGGCCGTGAACGCAGCGTTTAATCTGTTTTAATGTTCGCAGTTCCTTCACCAAATTATAGTTCCTTAACGAGCAGCTTGTTGCTACGTCAGAGTAACGAGCTCCGCCCACTCGCTGCACAGCCGGCAGTTTGTTCTCCAGCTCCTTACACTAAATTCCCAAACTGTCATCATCACTGAGCAGCTTTTCAGTCGACAGCTGAGACAGAAGAACAGCTAAACAACCTGGAATCAGCCAGAAATGAACCCAATACCATTCGCCAAACGTGTAGTCTGATCTTCAGAGTCTGACCAAATCAGACTGAGCCATAAATCTGCCACAATATCAAGTTCAGCTCAGTTTTGTCATTTTTTGCCAGATCAGTATTAATGTTGTTTTGTTCCAGCCAGTCTGTAAAGCATCTTTTCTGGCTGATTCCAGGTTGTTTAGCTGTTCTTCTGTCACAGCTGCCGACTGAAAAGCTGCTCAGTGGTGATGACAGTTTGGGAATTTAGTGTCGTCTCATCTTCAGAGTCTGACCAAATCAGCTGTCAGTCAAGTGTGATCTTAAAAGTGTCCATTTTCTGTTTGTGGCAAAGTAAGAAGTAAAAACATTCAAATGGCTTGAGTGATACAGTGTTTGTGAAAAACCCGTGATGTTATGGTGAAATAACAGCACGGTTAGAACACTTCTCAACCAATCAGCTTGCGTGGCCAAAACTAACTGTTGTATAAATCACAATAAAATATTGACTTACAAACACAAATGTGGTGTGGACTGAAAGTTTACAATCTGCACTTTCCACACATTTCCTCCAATGAGCTACGAGTCAGAAATACTTCATATTTCTCCAACTTCTCTTTTTGCCGGCGACTATAAGGAAATAAAGTTCTGTCCCCTTTGGATTGCAAAACAGCCCGAAACATCCAAATCACGTCATCTAGTCTTAATTTTACACGAAAACACATGACAAAGGTCTGATGCGTCTGTGGCTCTGCTCTGCTGTAATCATGACAAAAGCAAGATCACAGGACACATTTGCTTAATGGAAGCAGAAAAGAATCCGTCAACTTGGAGCACTTTGATGCTAAATACATCACAGCACACCAGCTCCTCCCGGCCTGCTGTGGGAGATTAAATGAGACAGGATTGGAACTGAGCTTCTATCATCTGGAGCAAATTAGATAGAGCAACAAGCAGGGAGAAGGTCCGCTACCTGACCTGACCACAGTCCAGTACAGTAGCAGTTAAACTAATACAAAAACAGGGCTCAAAGTTTGGGTGATATTTTGGTGCTAAACAATCCATAGCTATTATTAAGTTGGCTTGAGAAGCTTTTCTTTTCCTTCTGGTTTTTTAGTCTATGCTTTTTTGTTTGTGCCATTTTCACAGGTCTCAGATTTTGAGACAGAAGTGCAAAACCTTTAATGATTGTAGAGCCTTTATGAGAACGGTGCATTTATGGTTTTGGGGCTGATTTTCGTACAGCGATTTTTCCACCATAGGAAATGAAGGGAAAATGATGACACAAAAGGACATCATCACACTGACCCTCACCTCATACACACATATTAGCACACATACAGACACATATATTAGCAACCACCTGGGATACCAAAGCAACAGCATAGCAACACCTTAGCAACCACCTGGGATCACACAGCAACAACCTAGCAACACTTGGCCAACAACATGGGATAACACAGAAACAACGTAGCAACACCTTGGCAACCATCTAGGATAACTCAACAACAATCTAGCAACACCTTGGCAACCACCTGGGATAACAGCAACCATAGATCAACACCTTGGCAACTACCTGGGATAACACAGCAACAACCTAGCAATACCTTAGCAACCACATGGGATAACAGCAACCATAGATCAACACCTTGGCAACCACCTGGGATAACACAGCAACAAGCTAGCAACACCTTAGCAACCAGTTGGATAACTTAACAATAATCTAGCAAAACCTTATCAACCACATGGAATAACACAGCAACAACCTAGCAACACCTTAGCAACCAGCTGGGATGACACAGCAGTGCTGCTGGAGTTTTTAAACACTGTGTCCACTTACTGTCCACTCTATTAGACACTCCTACCTTGTCAGTCCACCTTGTAGATGTAAAGTCAGAGACGATAGCTCATCTGCTGCTGCACAGTTTGTGTTGGTCATCCTCTAGTCCTTCATCAGTGGTCACAGGACGCTGCCCACAGGACGCTGTTGGCTGGATATTTTTGGTTGGTGGACTATTCTCAGTCCAGCACTGACACTGAGGTGTTTAAACACTCCAGCAACACTGCTGTGTCTGATCCACTCAAACCAGGACAACACACACTAACACACCACCACCACATCAGTGTGCTGAGAATGATCCACCACCCAAATAGTACCTGCTCTGTGAGGGTCCATGGGGGTCCTGACCACTGAAGAACAGGGTAAAAGGGGGCTAACAAAGTATCAGAGAAACAGATGGACTACAGTCTGTAACTGTAGAACTACAAAGTGCACCTATATAGTAAGTGGAGCTGATAAAATGGACAATGAGCGTAGAAACAAGGAGGTGGTCATAATGTTATGCCTGACCGGTGTATATTGTTGAGGCCTTCTGCAAACACAGTTCTAAAACACTGTGTACATACTGAAGGCACTTGATCATCAACAGGAGGTTTACGTAACTTTAAAAACAGCCTGTTTTGAGCGCGTTTCTGTGAGTAATGTGCTGTGAGTAATCTGTTGTTGTGTAGTAAGTAACTGTGTCATAAGGCTGGGGAGCAGTAAGGCTGAGTCAGAGGAGACTCATTCTCACCCACCCACACTGTAGTGCTTCAGAATAGTGAACTCCCACAGTACAGTGAGTGAAAATATACAGCCCCATTATTCACACTGAGGGTGAGTCCTTCTATTTCTTCCCTACACTGAACTACGACAATATACAACGCTAATCCCTAACGTCCTAACGCTGTACGCGTTCACCTGTTGGCGCTCTGATAATGAATACAGTGACACCTGGTCACTTCATGTGTTCAGTATCTGGATTGTAACCTGGTAAGATTTTAGCCACATGCATTTACACTTGGTAGTCAAACGCGTCTCTGCTTAGTCAGACTGAAATCTGATTGCTGTGTGGGATGGAATATGCAAATCAGCTTGTTACACGGCAACTAGTCACCAACTGTTTATCTGTTCAGCCTCTTCATCTGCGGTGGGTTTGGTACAGTCATGTCTGATGTTGATATTAAGCATTTTTTTTCGTCCCCAACCAGGAGAGTCTTTCATGATTATCTTCCTCACAGACACAGGTCACGAGTCCAGTGACGCACAGCATGTGGAGGAGTTTCGGTTGTACTGGGAGAGGTTTTCGTGGAACTGAGAGGAGTTCTGGTTGTGTTGGCTGGGGTTTTGGTTGTATTGGGAGGGGTTTCAGTTGAACTGGGAGGAGTTTTGCTTGTATTTGAAGGAGTTTTGGTTGTATTGGGAGGGGTTTCAGTTGAACTGAGAGGAGTTCTGGTTGTATTGGCTGGGGTTTTGGTTGTATTGGGAGGGGTTTCAGTTGAACTGGCTGGGGTTTTGCTTGTATTTGAAGGAGTTTTGGTTGTATTGGGAGGGGTTTTGGTTGTACTGGGAGGGGTTCTGGTTGCACAGGGAGGAGTTTTGGTAGTATTTGGAGGGGTTTGGGTCGTACTAGCAGGAGTTTTAGTTGTACTAGGAGGGGTTTTGGTTGTACTGGGAGAGCTTTCTGTTGTACTAGGAGGAGTTTTGGTTGTATGGAGAGGGGTTTTGGTTTTACTGGGAGAAGATTTGGTTAAACTGTGAGGAGTTTCAGTTGTACTGGGAGGAGTTTTGGTCATACTGGGAGGGGTTTTGGTTGTACTGGGAGGGGTTTTACTTATAATAGAAGGAGCTCTGGTTGTACTGGTAGGGGTTTTGGTTGTACTGAGAGGGGTTTCTCGTGTTTCAGTTGTGCTGGGAGGGGTTTTGCTTGTACCGGGAGGGGTTTTGGTTGTACTGGAAAGGGTTTTAGTTATACTAGAAGGAGCTCTGGTTGTACTGGTAGGGGTTTTGGTTGTGCTGGGAGGGGTTTTGGTTGTACTAGGAGGGGTTTTGGTTGTACTGGGAGGAGTTTCAGTTGGTCCAAGTAATCCCAAACAAGTTCAGTGATAATAATAATAATTATTATTATCTGGCAACTCGAGTCAACTCTGGCAAAGAGCTGGTTCCAGTAGAACTGGCTGCTAGACAGACATTAGCATTAGCAGCCCTTGCTATACTGCATAATGTAATGTAAATCTTGCTGGAGAAATGGAACGGGTCCAGAGTGCCCCCCCCTCCGCTACCACCACCCCTCTGCTCTTACTGCCTGCTATTTTTACCCCACATCACAAGCCGTCACTGCGGGAACAGCATCCCATCACCGCAGAGATGGAGGCTGGGCTGTCAGGGGTCACAGGAGGGGGCTGGGGGTGGTGATGCAACAGGAAAACACTGCGGTAGGACGGGGGACCGCAACACCTGCCTGACTCTACCCATCGCCTGGAGCCAGCCAAGCCAAACAGGAATATGCATGAGGCCAGAGTTTAATGGGTCATAAATCAATCACGATATTGCAGTTGAAAGCACCGCCTGAGGTTACGCAGCGCTGAGCGCTACATTTATTATGTTATCTCAAC